CTGCTTTGGACTCCGCCTTGACGGACAAGCTGAGCACAACGTCCTGTTTTGTCAAAAATGCACAGCTCATGTCTCTTCTTTGTTCTGAAGAAATTCATTCTATAAAAAGGGATACTAAAAATGAAACAAAACATAAATAAAAAGAAATACTATAGCAACTCTTTCTCAGCAAATGACTGTACAGTCATCCTTTGACATGCTTCCAAAAAATGGTCAACCAGACTAATTGTAAACCACACGGATACAGAGAACAAAAAATCCACATGAGCTGAATGTCCAGAAAGATTTAATAATTGGTTTATGCTGGAAGCAAACGATTCATATTCCCGGTTAGAATCAGAAATCAGATCTTATTAAGCTTACTTTATAAAAGAAAGTTAAGTTAAGATTCATCAAAAGGAGAATGAAAATAGTTTCTTTAAATAAATATAGGTAAAACATGAAAAGTTATCCAAATTAGTTTGATACATTAGACCCAAATGTAATGAAAGCAATGCAATATATAAACATTTGGCTAATGTTTCAAATGCCATTAGACATGATCCAGCTCAAGTTAAATATTTTAAATTTCATATAATATGCTTGTAAAAATCTTGTATACACTTTTCAGTCAAAATGTACATTTGAATAAATAGCATTAGGATCAATAGGATTTTGATATAATTTTAAGCAATTCTTAGTTTATGCTCACTAGCACTTTAAATGAAAAAAGAAGTTCTGTATTTGATACTCCGAGTTTAGTTTCATCCAAGTGGCTCTGCCTGACTTCAAGTGGGGGGGGGGGGAACGAGGACAACCGTCATGCAAGACCATGAGATCAGCCCTGGAGATCAGGCCATCGTAGCCCAACCCATCTCGGAGGGCCATCCTGGATGCTTCAGGGTGTCCACAAGCCAGATCCAGGCCTCTTTCCTGACCTTGTTCCTCTGTAGCTTACATCTGGAGACGTGCTGCTGTTCCCACCCCTTAGGTAGCCCTTTGTCCTGGATAGACATGTCCCCAATATCCTTCTCCGTAGCGGCCCTCACCACCTGTTACGGTTAATGAACTCCAGAAACAGTGAAGCCCTGGATAAACATGGGCTCACCAGTTGCACCCCCCCAACCTGCACAGGCAGCATAAAAGCCCCCCCCCACTCCTGTGCATTGATTCATTCAGTCCATGCAGTCCGGCAGCTTTGCTGAGAGGCTTTATGGGGTCTGTCCATGTTGTGGCAAACCCAACTAAAATGGTCAGACCGCTGCTGCCACAGAGGAGGGGAACTATAAGCGAATGGGTGGGATAGGAGCCTCAGTGTCAAATAATTTAAGATTTAGATGTATCCTTTATGTTGTGGTTGTGGAATAAACCACGATATGAAATGATAACACAGAAATATCAGTCAAGAAGTCACTACAGCCGAATGAAAACACACAATGATCACAGGAGAACTTGTTGTTTAACCTGGTGTGAAGAAAAAACCTAAAAGGACCTACCGTGTTACTTCTAATTAAAACATGACTTTCTTTAGAGTGTCTTTAGGTTTAAAGTAGCTTAGTCTTTGGAGACAGAAATTAGCCTCGGTGGATGGAAAATATAAAGTCAAAGCAGGCAGTTTTGTGAATGTGGAAAAACGTGGAAAGGAACCCAGAGTTAAAGTAACCTCAGCTAGGAGAGACTTTCTTAAAAACCTGCTTAACAAACAAGCATTAATTATGGGGCCAAATCACGGGGTTCCTAGGGAAGCGTAGTGAGACAGTTGAAATCATTTTTTTCCCAGAGCAATCAGTAAATTTCCACGTGACCCAATAAGTTGTGTAATTCTTTCCCATGACATATGGCATTGTAACTATTGATTTTAATATATTGCTGGAGTATAGTTTAAAGTAATTATGTGACTATGAAATAGTTTACATACCTATACTGTATGTTCCTCTCTTTCTCCCTGGGTGTATATGTAATGTGTATAAGAAAGGCAGTGGGATGCAATTAAATTGCCAGGCTTCTCCCCTAGGGGAGATTGGGGTGAGGGTGATCATTTGAACTGGATTGAGGGAGGGAGTCAGACTGGGCCCCCGAAATGGCCCTTCCATCTTGAGGAGCCTCCAATGCAGGGGAGAGAGCTTTTCCTTCCTTACGGCCGGCTGCGTCCCCTCCGGACTCTCGGGGGGCAGACTCTGACCTTCTTTCTGGCAGGGCTGGCAGGGCTTAGGGAGGCATTCCTCAGTGGTGCCAACTGGCCCCGACTGCGGCTTCCTAGTTGGCAGGAGATGCTGCCTTAATCAACCCCATGGAAGGAGGAAGGCCCTTTGCTTGGTTTGGTTGCCTTGGATTTCCCTCGCCTCCTCCGTCCGCTCCTGCTCACATTCCCACCCAGAGGGCAGGGCTGCTCTCCTGCCTGCACAGGCCGAAGCAAAGCAAGACTTCATAGCCGGTTTCCAGTGCCTGGTGCTTTGATGCCTTTTAAAAGGGAGAAATTAGATTTGCTGAGTTAAGGCATGAGTGTCTCATTAAAAACGCCTCTTAATAGAGGTCAGCCAATTTACCCAAAGAAGAGATTTTCAGTGTAAGAAAACAAGCAAATCAGTTTTAGAACAATTTGCTCTAAAGCTTCAAAAAGAGCTGGAAATGAGACTTGGGGGATCTACCACAAACGAGGTGCGATGCCGCCAATTAAGCTCACATCCTTCAATCAGAAGGTGTTAACGTTATCTGTTTTCCCTTTTGCATTTTAATTCATGCTAAGTCATTTTGGATTGACCGTTACGGGTCTGGTTTACCCATGACATGCATGCCAGCCTCCTTCCTTAGGGCAGAAGGTGAAAAAAGTCTACCACCCATTCAGCCCTGGGTGTCAGGATGGAGGTTGCAGCCAGAAGGCCTTCCCAGCCTCTGATGGCCGCTCAGCCGTGTGGCGCAAAGTCTGGTTCCAGCGAAACAGGTTTCCCACATTTCCCTCTTCCTGCTTTGGGGTCCTTTGCTGGCCGGACAGTCTTTCTCACTCTTAGCTAGGAGACTGATCCCTCTTAAAACTTCTTTATTCCTTTGAGTTTAAACCAATGGTTTAAGGAAAAACACAAATTTCTAGAACATGTGCAAAAATAGCTGGAAATGCAGCCGTTTTCTCGCAAAGAAAGGCTACAGCAACGGTTAAAGAGATGTGGGAAGCTGATCTAGAGATATATGAAATCACGCACGGCCAGCGGTGGCTTTATCCAAAGCTAACCATTTTCAGTTGACTGTGGCTGTCAGCTTGGCTCAAACTGAACAGTGGACTGAGCTGTTGTTGCCAAGGTCACATCAGGTGCAGCTGATGCTAAATTATCATTCTGAACATACAAATCTTTGCTTCAATGGGAGTCAGCTTCCATCAGTTAATGTTGCCTAGGGGAGCCCTGGACCCCCCTAAATCAGCACTCGGCCCGGCCCAGACAATCTCTCTCTCTCTCTCTCTCTCTCTCTCTCTCTCTCTCTCTCTCTCCTTCTCTCTCTCTCTCTCTCTCTCCCTCCCTCCCTCCTCTCTCAAGTTCATCCACTGAAGGAGTCGCAGAAGTGAGAGAAGAGAACAACAGTGTCATACAGCATATTCACTGCCAGCAGCGGTCAGTCAGGATGGTTAAAAGAACAACAGCAACAGGACAGATTCATGGACAATTAGACCATCAGTGGCTATTACTGTGGATGGTGGTGGTGGTGGTGACACTTTGTGAATCCTAGACCACAGGCCTTCAATCTTGGTTTATGGGAAGTGCCATTGGAAGTTGGGTCTCACTCCCTAGTGCAGTCCAGAGCATGATGACCAACCTTCTTCCCTGAAGCTTACAGATTCTGATCCAACATGCTGGTCCAGGCTGGGTCAGTAGATGTTTTTCAACTTCTCCCCTTTCTTTCTCTGCACACGCCCATGGGGGGGGGGAGAGAGAGAGAGAAAGAGAGAGGGAGGGAGGGAGGGAGAGAGAGAGAGGGAGGGAGAGAGGAATGCTTTCTTGCAGCTTTCTTAATTTCCCTCAGTTGCAAAGACATTTTTCTTGTAATTTTATATCCATAAAAGGACTGAGGCATGTCTGTTCAGTGTCCATATTAGATTAAACTGGATATGAACAAGGTGTAATGTTTTTGAAAAACATCAGAAAAAGCAGGTTTTATTAAATTGTAAGTACTTTTTTTTTGGCTTGGAAAAGTATGCTTTTATTATTTCTTTTTCTTAGACTTTAAATATTAATTTGACTCCCTGGGAGAATCTCGCAGTTCATACAATTCAAATGAATTTAATAGAGAAAGGTTTGGGATTTCCTTTTGAAGAAAGTCCACAGTACCCATTTACTAATGTAATAACATTATAATAAAATAATAACTGAAGTGGATATTTTATCTAGCTTTTATGTTCAATTATTATTTTATTATTTAAAAAATATTATTTTAGGCCACCCTACATTTCACTGTGGCCCAGGCCTTTCTTGTGTGTTCAGGTTACAATTTCTTGGGTTTTATTTGTTGGTTTGGTAATCTCAGGATTTGAGTCCAACAATCAAAGCTGGACCTTCCTTTGATATCAAGCCAAATCAAGGCAGGGTCTATGGAGTTTCTTCAGCGGCCCCCTCTTCCTCCCCCCCCCTTAGCAGCCCACTGCTTGCTTCCTCCTTCCAAGAGCCAGCCTTACAGTTTCACCCAGTGCTGCACCAATTTCCCTCCTCTCACACCAATTTGAACATTTCAGATAAATAAATAAATAAATAAATAAATAAATAAATAAATAAATAAAATCTATCCAATTCAATTTGGACATCAGAACAGACTTACACTCAGCCTCCCAAATAGAATTGATTTGCTAAATTTCAACCAATAAAAGTTACAAACAGAAAGTGTCCAAATTGTTCAAAACAATTTAGGTGTGTTTGATCTCTCGCTTGATTCTCACAACTGATTCGCTTGATTCTTAGAACTGGGCGTCATAAGGTCCACGGTGGATGGCTCCCATTACAGGAGTGGCTCTGGGTGCAAATAATGCCAGCACAAAAAGATGAGAAAATCTAGCTGTGTTTATGTGAAGTCACATGACCTGGACCTCCTGATGTATCTACAGAAGCCAAAAATCTTGAATTTCCTTCTTTCTCTCTGTTTTTTTTTCAGGGTTTCATTGCTTCTTGATTACTTCTTCATTGATTTATGGTCAAGGACAAAGGTCTTTAACAATGACTGTAAATTAAAAGAAAAGTAGATGGAAATAGATTAAAAAAATAGAAAAATTGACAGAAATCTAGTTATAATGCTTCGTTGTCCTACATCTATGGAACATTTTCCATAGCCATCCTATGTTGACATACTCTATTCAAGGGATTGAGAGAAAAATATTGTAAAACGAAAGGAAGCTAAACTAGGAATATAGAACTAGAACTTAAAATATTGAATATAAAGAGTCTATTCATTTGTATGCTCTTACAAAACTATTTTTTTTAAAGGAAGCCTACAGTCAGTAGAATGAATCTTTTATTCAAAAAGTGTCTGTTTCATTTCTTTATAATCTTGGCTCCCTATTTTTAGCAATTGATTCCTGCTTCTTAGGATTCCCTGATTTTCCTACCATAAAACCATTTAATATTTTTTTTGTGATGTGATGTATTCATGAAAGAATACCAGGGGACTTTAAAAGGCAAAGCAGCAGAAGTTTGTCTTATTTAAAATATAGCTGGCAATTTCAAAGGTGAATTCTGAGAGTGGCCTCTTTTTCCAGCCGGCCAAACCAAACCAATTTTCATCTAATTTAAATAAGAGTATGTGATTTGAAAATTAAATTAAAAGGTGTGTGTTGTGTTGAGTTTCTCAGTAATGAGTTCCATGTTTTACCTTCGGGATATTTGGGAGCTGAGACTCTTTAGAGTTTCTATCTGCAAGCTTTGGGTTAAAATAATAATCCTCTGAGTTAGTCACCTATCACCTTACACTGATCTTCCACCACTGTTTAAAGCAGGAACACTTTCAGCCACGTCTGTAAGGGATTAAAGTTTCTGTGTAGCTGGAATGAAGACAGACAAGTCATTTTTCAGATAATTCACCTTTCATGCTAGCAGCCCCGTGGCCTGTGGTCTTCAGGCTTATTTCTTTTCTTCTACGTTTGTCTCCATCAAAAGCAAAACCTGTTTACCAGATCTGGCAGTAAGATCAGTGGGCATCACTGCAGGCAACGAAGCCATTTACAGGACCCTCCTCAACTCTCTGAAAAGGAGGGGCCCACCTGGTTCTGGCTATCTAGGCTATCAAGAGGACAGGAAGTGATTTTAATTGCCCCGTTTCCGGGCTGGTCCAGCCCCTGAGGCTATCACTACGGAAGGGGTTCTTCTGATCTTTCCGTGTGGCACTCCCGCTTCCTCCGCCTGGGGTCTCCAGACTGCAGTTCCCATCATTCCCAGCCATGGTGAAGAAATGCAGTTCCCACCTACCTGGAGGGGGCTTAGCTGCAGCAGCCTTGGATCCTGCAAACAATGCATCTCTCCTGGCACAAAGACTTCTGCATGGTACCCAGTTTGCTGTAGGGAGGGTGGAGACCAGAGCTTAGTTGGGAGGGAGGGAAGTCCAAATCACGAGCATCTGAAAGGCTATTCCACCAGTTGGTAGCTACACCTCTTGAGATTATCAACAATGGCTGTAAGGTGTTTTTTCCTTTCATTCCCAGTCTAGCAATATCAATGGCAATTAGATGTATATACCGCTTCATAGTGCTTTACAGGCCTCTCTGAGTGGTTTACAGAGTCTGCCTCTTGCCCCCAACAATCTGGCTCCTCCTTTTATTGACCTCGGAAGGACGGAAGGCTGAATTGACCTTGAGCCAGTCAGGATCGAACGCCTGGCTGCGGGCAGAATTAGCCTGCAATGCTGCATTCTCACCATTGCTGGGATTCTTCCATCCATGGACAGGGCTTGCCATGTCTGATCCCAGTTAGCTTTTTCAAGAACAAGGTCAGAGACTTTCTGTCACCCCTGAGTACCCACGTGGGGGTCCCTTGGTTGACTGGACGCCAGAGATCGGCTTCTTTGAGCCTTGGTGGCGTAGCTGATTAAGCACTGTTACAGTGCACCCAGCTGCCTGCAATTACTGCAAGTTCAAATCTCACCAGGCTCAAGGTTGACTCAGCCTTCCATCCTTTCTAAGGTAGGTAAAATGAGGACCCGGATTGTGGGGGCAATAAGCTGACTTTGTATAAATAAACAAAAAGTATGAAGGCTATTGCTTAACGCATTGTAAGCTGCCCTGAGTCTCCGGAGAAGGGCGGCATATAAATAATAAAAAAAAAAAGATAAAATAAATTGCTTGTTTAGGCAGGCCTAGGAAAAACCTGTGGCTTCCAGGTTTTGTTTAGTATTGTTGTACTAATAATATTGGAAACTGCTCTCAAGCAAAGCAGCCCTTAGACCTATCCCAGGGCAGTCTCCAAGGGCCGGGTATAAAATAGTCAAGGTGAGACTGAAGCCCCTTTTTTTACCTGTACACCTGTCTCGAGGGGGCAGGCCTTCAGTCACATCCTTGTATCCACCAGGTGGACCTTCGGACTCCCTCCCCGACCAATGGACACCTCTGAGGGATGGCTTCTGAAGTAAATAAATGAATATCAGAGGACATAAAAAACTGACTTTTAAGCTTTATGGCAAGGGTAAGGGGATCACAGCTCAACCATGGCTTTATAAGGACGATCTCTCTCTCTCTCTCTCTCTCTCTCTCTCTCTCTCTCTCTCTCTCTCTCTCTCTCTCTCTCTCTCACACACACACACACACACACACACACACACACACACACACCATTAAACCTGTGGCAAACACAGCATGAGTGAGGGATAGATTGGAGTGATTCACAAGTTTCATGGCAGATAAATAAGAATCCTGCCTGTATGTGGGTGTGCTTGTTTAAGGATTGCTTTCATGAAGAGTTTATAAACCAGGATTTTATCAGTAAGCCTCCTTTGGAAAACTAGGCCAATCAATCTGTAGGAAAGAGAATATTTGGCAGGCTTTGGGTATGAAAATATACATTAAGCATAACCTGAAGGGGAAGAATGAATGCAGTTTAATTAACACAATCTAATATTGTTACATTAAGCTAACTACATTAGACCCATCAGTCTGCTTCAATTTTTTCCACTAGCCTTCAGCATTATGAAAAAAGGAGGAGCTGAATTTCTACAGAATCCCCACGAGTTAAACTGTTTCTGAGGCTACTTGGCCTGGAAAGATCAAGCGATTTTCTGTAATAATTGTTCCGGTGAAACTATGCCATGCAAAATGAAATCAGTAGTGCATGATAGCAACAGTGAATGGTCTTTGGAGTCATATCTTCTTCACATGATTTGGATTAAAAATCTTTATCCTTAACTTGGACTTTAATCTTTACCCTGTTGGTAAAGAAACATCTCAAGAACATCTCAAGAAACATGCTACATGCTTCAATCATAGCTTGATAATATAACTAAAATTCAGTTTGAAGCCAGAGTGAAAAGTGCATACACCAAATATGAAAAATTGAACTGTGTCCTGAGTTCGTTCTTTACCTTCAAAGGTTATATATCAAAAGGATGTTATCTCAGTTTCATTTTTTAGGTAGGTGATACAAAACAAATACTCTGACTTTAACACCCCCACCCCCACCCACACATATACACACACCCTTCGTTTTCGTACAGGAGCCTAAGGTGGCATTCATTGCCTTCTCTTCCCAATTTAATTGTATGACTGTAGAAAGTTCAGCCAAAGGACAGGGACTAATGAGAATTGTTAATCACTCCGACAGCCATGTATTAATCCACCTCTCCGTATGGTTCTTTCTTCCAGGCTTCCCCAAAGAAATGAGCGCGAGGGACAAACTTATTCAATCCCGGCATCCCATTTCCAGGTTCCCCATCGCCCATCTTGCGATTTCTCAGCCTTCAAGGCAACCTTCCTCCCATTGAAGTGCACTTTTCATCTCTCTTCTCCTTCACTGCAAAAGCGATCCTATCAGGGGTGGGTTCTATTTACCTTGACTATTGGTTCGCAAGGGGGCCACACGCGCGCACTCGCTTCGCTTGCATGCGCTTGTGCAGACGCATTCTGATGACGTCGGGGTTGGTGGGTGGAGCCTCCCGCCGGTTTTACTACCGGTTCTATAGAACCGGGGGCAACCCACCACTGGTCCTGGTGTTGGGCTCCTAGCTGAACTTCAAAGAGAAATCTGTCGCCCACATACATACCAAGTGCCTCCGTGTGCATCGTGGGCAGATATGGCTTTAAAAAGAGGTGGGGGCAGGGGGTAACCAGTTCAGTAGCTGCTATTTCCCCATCTTAATTTCACTGATGAAAGAGGAAAAGAAGGGCAAAATGAGAGCTTTCGATGAGTCCTGAAGAAAGCAACATGGCGGTTTGCAAACAGCCTACACGTTTGAAGCTTGTTTCAGTAGGAAGTTTATCTTTCTAAAGTCCTTTGAAAGAAAGAAGGTGTTGCTTTTTAAGGAAAAGTGCCAGTACAGCCCCTTTCAATAGGAACGATTCATGTAAGTTGTGGAAAACACAAGTGTTGCTTCTAGGGCACAGAAAGAACAGAATGCCAGGCAATTAACTAGGCCCAATTAAAGGGCCCCGGTGGTCTTTGCCGGCAAAGTGAAAGTGGCCAAGCATTCATTTTGTTGTCTGGTTCACAATTAGGAGCCACTGTTGTTGGCTCCTAAGATAAAGCAACTTTGAGCAAGACATTAGACAGTGGCGGCCTATTGATCATTTTCTTTCTGTTTCCATTTCTTTCTACATATTTTTTTCTATCTCTGTTGCTTTCTATTTTTTCCAAAGAATTTAAGAGTATATATTCATGCGACTAAGCCCTCCTACGGTAGACCAGACTAGCAATTGACATGGTAGGTTTCCAACAGTGTGATCCAATGCTGTATGGAAGCCATGGGGTGGTGGAGTATGGTGCCGAGGGAAGGCCCTAAGAGCCATAGAGTTGGAAAACTAAACAATAATGACCTCCTGCTTCTGAGCAAGTGTGCTGAAAACAATTAGTGCATCACTAATATGAGCTTCAGATTTGCAAACAAGTACAAAGCAAACTTGATGCATCCCAGGTCCAAATACAGGCACCTCCTAGACTAGGACATAGTATGTCAGCGTGACCTTAAAGAGGCCATCATCACCCGGGCTATGTGAGGTGCTAAATGTTGACCAGATCACAGGCTGTTCTGGTCAATCCTCAACCTGCACGTGACAACCAACCAATGTCTTAACATCATTCAACATTGGCAGAGTGCAGGACCCAAGCCAAGTTCAACATTTTCAAGTAATACTTGATGAAAAATTCTCTGCCAATCTACCACTTGTAGGAACCTATTCTGAGAAGCGGATGCAGTCTGAAGATGTCACCACACAGACCTCAACGACTATACTTGGACTGAAACCCAGGCACCCCAAGGCTGGTCTGATGAAAAAGCCATCAAAGAGACCATTTCAACAGCCCTCCCGGCCAAGAACAAGACCAAGGCAGATGGCAGAGTGACCCATCATCTGTCTCAAAGAAAGGCGAGATTAAACACCTGCAATGCAATGTACAGGCAGAAATGCAGGACGAGTGTTGGCAGAGAAGGGCTAAGAAGGTGGGATGCTATTCAGACAAGGCAAAGTGTCACCAGAGACTTAAAGGCAGTTTATGGCCCTTCTAAATCAGGACCCTCCCCCTTGTTGTTATCTGATGAGCTGAGCCTGATCAAAGACCAGGAAGGACTATGGGAAAAAACCCACCACCTAAACATTTTTCCAACCTGCTCATTAGGGCATCCACAGTTGAACCTGACGTTTTACTGCAGATTCCTCAGCTACCAGTTTTGGATGCCCTCAACCTGGCTCCCTCTGCTGATGAGATCAAGAAAAGGATCTAGCAGGTGAACTCAAGTAAAGGAACAGGGCAGGATGGCATTCCTGCTGAGATCCAGAGCCACTAGGCCCAAGTACATAATTTGTTCTTGGAAGACAACTGACTCACAGAGGAGATGTGTGGCAACCGTAGAGAGACACACAAGGCCCCCATCCTGGATCTCTATAAAAATAAAGGGAACAAATCATGTTGCAGACAGTATAGAGGTATTATTTATTAAATTTAGATGTGGCCTATCTCACACTCACATAACTTTAGGCAGCTCACAGCATGATGAAAGATTACAACAGTAAAACAGTAAATGCTAAATGAAGAATTAGCCAAGATGGTGGCAGCATGCAGTGAGGGTGAGGTGGGATCTTCTGTGTATTAACCACCTCCAGAATGGCATAGCCCCATCCAGGCCCTAGGCTAACCAGCACAGCCAGGTTTTAAGGCCCTTTCAGAAGACTCAGAGGGTGGGGGCTGATCTTACCTCAAAGGATACGATGCAACAGAGTGGGAACCATGGCAGAAAAGGCTCTTCGCCTGAACTTCCCCAGCCAAAGTTCCTTGGCATGCCTCTTCTGCCACTGATGGTTCTTCACGGCTGTCCATCGCAGGCACGGTCATTGCTGCATTTTTCTGAATAGACTTCTCACTGCCTCAGAAAGAAACCTCTCATTGG